CCGAGAGATGGGATGTCGCCAATTGGATGCACTGGTCCTGATCCTCTCCCCATGATAAATGTTCCCAGACCTCGGCGCGGGTTGGACTGTGCCAGCTGGGCCACGGATTGCGAAAACTTGCGGCGCTGTTGTTTGGGTATGGCTTTGCAGGCGTCCCAGGCGTCACGAATGTGAAGAAAGAAGCCGCCATGCCTTTGGAAGCAGGAGCGGCGACGTGGTGTTTTGGGATGTCCCTGCTTCTTTCCACCCGTTCTAGAGCAAGGCGTGGCTTTTCGTCTGTGCTCATTTTGTTGGGTCGGAGGGGTTTCGATTCGTTGGGGAAGATCCAAAGGCTTCAAGTTGTTGTGGAGGTCGAAGTTGATGGATTTTTCAAGAGTGGAAGCTGCGTTTGGCTCTCTAGCTCTCATCAACCTTCCAAATCCAGCTTGTCCCCGCTCTATTGCAGTGACGTCACTCAATTCGTTTCAAGCAGGTGAATTTGGGGGAAATTGAAACAAATCCATCAAACAAATTTCTTTCCGGAAAATGACTCCAATTTTCTCCATAATGCTTCTTATCGACATTCCTATTCTTGCGTCCTTCACTTTGGTGTTGACGTTGGAACAAGCTTCGGCCGACAGCGGCGGACCCATTGCCAAGTCCCACGGTCCCAACACACCGAGTCCCTAGCCTGCCGAGACAGGATCAGATCATTTGATACCGGTCGATGCAGGCGCTGGTCTGAGATAAACGGATGGTACAACTCAATTTCAGCAGAGACAACCACAGTAGCACAGCCGAGCCGTTTGATAAGACCCGGTAACCTAGCTCGCGGGATGCTCCCGACCCTCAAGCTCCACGACATGGACGGGCCCATGGTTGCCACGCTCCCACCACGTCCCATCGCCCGGTTTATTGCGTGGTACACCGTCGTACACATTCGGTTATCTTGCAGAATGAACGAAAACTCTGTGGGCATCAACTTGAGAGGTGAGTCTGTGGTACGGACGACTTGTGGAATACTAGTATCGTATTCTGATGCAGAGCTCCCCGAACGCGGAAAACGAGAACGAGTTCGATCTGGGTTGAACACTTATTAATGGTGGTCGACAGAAAACTGCAACTCATCGTGATATCTCACTTTGAACTAGGGTCTGCAACCACAGCATTCATGCCCAGAGTGAGCCTCTGAAGCTAACTGGCGGGTCGGTGTCCGGTCGGGTCTGGATCGGCACTCGGTCCCGGGACGAAAAAGCGGAGAAACTTCCCGGACTTGCATTTGGGGCATTCCTTTGATTCGACCGCGACGGATCTGATTCAGATGCCGCCCTCTTTCTTCCATCCCAAACCTTGAAACTCATCGAGGTCACTACCGCCGGGCTCACATCAGCGGTGAAGTGTGCTTACAAGTCGTCTCATCTTCCATCTTGTCAGACCATTCCATTTCTCGTATATCCGTTCTGTGACGCCTGCCTTGCCTTATATCCGTTCATTGTATTTATCCGTCGGCCGGTATTTAATACCGGACTCAATCTCCCCCTCATTCTCCAGGGACAGCAGGACTTGTGAGGAAAACCATCATCACAATGGGCGACGCATCCTCTTCCTCCTCCGCTCCCAACAATACCAAAGGCCCCATATCCACACTCCCGCAACTCCACCGCTACATCACCGGCCACAACGCCGAGGGCAAAGCTATCGTCCACAGCCACAACGACTTTGAGTGGCAGGCGTACGACGACGACCAGCTCGCCTTCAGCGTGCCCTACACCACCTCCCAGTTTCCCCCGGACCTCAACGACGACGCCGACGTCACCAACCACCTCGCCGTCGTCGGGGGAGGCAAGCTCGGGCTCGTGCACCCGCGCGGCACCGTCTTCCGCTGCGTCGACTTTGCGCCAGGCTACGCGTGCGGCATGCACCGCACCCAGAGCTTGGACTATGGCATCGTGCTCGAGGGCCAGGTCGACATGGTTCTGGACAGCGGCGAGGTGCACCCGCTCAAGCGCGGCGACGTGGCCATCCAGCGCGCCACCCAGCACCAGTGGGTCAACAAGAGCAAGACCGAGTGGGCACGCATGATGTTTGTGCTGCAGGACTGCAAGCCCCTCGTGGTGAATGATCAGGAGATGAAGGAGGATCTGGGCGAGAACTCGGGGTTGCCGCCGAGTGGGAACTGATTCCATTTGATGATCCTTTTAGGTACCTTGATGAACGGTTAAGGTGGTCTGGAAATCTTGTGTGAAAGCGGGACCTTCAGTATGAGCTGGTAGTATAAGCCATAAGCCGAGTTTTAGTTCACATTCACGACAGGGCACCAAGGGCACGAGTTGGAGCATCAAGAAGGATATCTGCTCACGGGAAAAGAATTTCACGAAATACTCCCCTTAACTAAAACAATACATTGAACAGCAATGATAAGTGAAGCGAATGGAAATGGAGCACCTCGCGAGTATTATCAGATACATTCGGTTAAGATAACGGTATATTATATAACATTCCTATTAACTTACCCAACTTTCCTTGGCTGTCTCCATCTCATCGTTGAAGAATCCCTAAGCGTTGACGAAATCTCAGCGGTTCAGAATTCCCAAGATTAAAGTCCACTTTAGTCGCATGATTCCACGGCTTGGCATGTTGAAGATGTTCACAACTGACAACTGGAAAGAGCACACTGCCTTCCTGCCATACTGGCTCCCTGGCCGCCCTACCGCCCACAAAAGGATTTTGGCAATTCCAATCGTCGTCGTCCGAGCCTTTCCCAGTTCAACCAACATCATCAACTTCACCATTTAATCAATTCACCAGCTAGCCAGCCATCCATCCATTTGCCCAACTGTCAACATATTGAACCACTTTACTAACTTTCTCTTGAAATAGCCAATCTATTACAATTAACCACGACGACAGCTGCGCGACCGTACCGCACACGCACACACACAAATCGAGCCCAATCCACCACACTGTATCAGCAACAGAACATAAACTGTCATCCTTAAAGTCTATTTGGAAGTTCTATAAACAAGGAGCCCAGTCTTACCATGGTTGATTGAGTATACCTTCCTGGACGACTGTGGTCCAAATCCCTGACACTCTCGGCCAGTTCAAGTGTACTGAATTCACGACCCGAGCCGGAGCTGAATCGATAGATGCTCGGAAGATAATCAAAGATGAACGACACCGATCTAGCTCTATTCAATAATTGTGCGGTACACACGCAGCGAGTCTGTGTGGCTGTGCAAAATCCCGCCCAGAACTTCAGAAGACATCCTTTTACTGGCAAACCGTCAACACTCTTCAGGTCCTCCTTCAACTTCAGGCATCAACACCGACAGGACAGAAGTCTCATCGTCCACCGCTATGCTACTAGTTGGCAAAACCGCAAAACCAAGGCTGTCTTTCTCAACTTCCACATCTCAGTCTCAGGCCTTCTGTGTCGTCCTCAGATATATCCCGCACACCCAAAGTTACTCTACCTAGTCATGGACATGTCGACATCATTCGACTATGATTCAATGTCGACCAACAGAAGTTACAGCCGGACCGAGATTGATTCGGTGAAAACTACGATACTCCTGCTGGAAAGACTGGACGATATCTTGATTGACATGGCTAGAGAAGCCATCCGTGTGTTCAGTGCTGTGCAAGGCGCCAATCCGCACATTCTCCTCGTCACGGAAGCGCAGCTCAGAACCTCGAGACTACTAGGGAGGGCTATCAACAGTCACGGTTTGGCGACGCCGAGGTGAGGCAATATCTGGCCAGCCTGCCCGGGTCTGCCGCCACCTGGGTGAACCTAAACCGGTCCATCCTTCGACACCTAGCGGAGTCCCGCGGGAGTCGACGCGAGGAGTGGGAATTGTGGTTGTCCGGTGCCGAGAGTGCTGGCACTGCCACCTGGCAGGAGGCGATCAACGCAAGGCCAATATACTTCTCGACTACCCCTGGCGGCGCCGCTGCTATAAATGGTCTCATTGAGCGACTGCGCTTCACCGATGGTCTTCTCAACCCAATCCACAGCAGCCTCTTCGGGCAAGACGCAGAGAAGCGGACGCAGTTCTCTTCCGAGCTGGAGGACACATTGCAAGTTTCCACCATACGGGAGCGAATGATGGGCCATTATTAGTAGCTAACATTAGCGAACCGCCGCAGACTTGCTCTAATCGAGATTGAGAAGCGTAATCTACCTCGGGAGATGACCACTGTCCATCGGTTCAAGGCAGCCATCCGCTAGAATAGAGCAGCAACAGAGCAAACGGTGATCGGTATGTCGACCTCGGTAGACAGCAATGGTCGAACAAGCGGGAATTCTGTCATGACTTTCAGGCCGTCTGCTGCGGGCAGCACAATGGGCGTCGTCGGCACAGAGATGGAAGAGGTCTCGACAACTGCTGGAAGCGCAGCCAGCGAACAACAACAGCTCGCGTCGGCGGCAAACACGGTAAATAACCGGATACCCCAATCTCTCTCCTTGTCCAGGTTTCTTGGGCTAATGCCCAGTTACATAGTACAATCCGACAACATTCGCCGTCATGTTAATCCTAACGATAACCGCGGCCGCCTTGACCGCCAAGGGCTGGGAGGTCTCGCCCCACGAGCCCGGCACGAAAGAGGACGCCGATCTTTTGGTTCCTGATTCAGTCATCGCTCATGCAGGTGGTCTGCATGGTTCCCGTGGCGTTCTCCCTCTACTACGACGCCACTCTCGGTCGGCAGTCTCGCGTGTGGAGCTGGGCGTTCTTGGAGACTGGGTCCGTTCTCGCGGTCGTCGCGCCATCGATATATTGCGTGCTGCCGACCGAGTACAGCGCGGTCCTTGCTTTTGTGGGCAGCGTGATACAGGCTCTTATTATCCTGCAGGCCATGGTGCTAGGTGTTGGACAATCATTGCAGGCAGCGGGCAGTGTGAAGGCGGAATGAAGTGCATTTATTAACAGAAACGAAGGAAAGGAAAAAGCGGGGAAGAGAGAAAGCGTCTCCAGTACAAAAAGCAGCGGAGAAGACTAGTCTCTATTTTATTATGCCCAATAACAGGATTGAACTGTTGACCTTCGCATGTTACTTGATAGAAGGGATAATCTCTCTATTAGTACGACGCTCTAACCAGCTGAGCTAATCGGGCATTTTATCTAGTTGTTGATATCTCATTGGCAGGCTAATCCTAAATAGATACGGTCATCGTGCTCTCACAATAGCCGGATGAACGACAGGGGCTGCCTGTACACTGCATGAGAAGACTGGAGTCCGCTCAGGATATTGCGGAGTTTGTCTTGGCACGCGGATGTACACCGCTCTAGGCACTCCTACACAATCGGAAAGTCAATGAATGGGTCGATATGTGACGTTAGCTAAGGCGGCTGAAATTTGTTGGGAGCAATTGCTCTGTTTCCCAGGTATCTCAACATTTTAGTAGCTGAAATACCGATTATTAATCTAGTCGCCTGGTTAGTTCAACAACAAGGTTAGAAGATGCGATCTGTAACCAGGCATGAATAAGTATTATCCGCGTGTAAGTTGGAGGGAGTTCTATGATTATGGTTGACAGAGGGCACTGTCAACATGTCTGCCAAGAGCTGGTTGTGTAATTCGTACCTGAGGTATGAATGTTCGGTCATTTGTTACATTCAGTGCAACCATCGAAAGTCCGAGAACTGTGTAACCCCTCACGCCTGTGTCGGACCCTAGACTAGTATGTGTACTTATATCACCACAATACCCCCCTTTCTCTTCACTTGAATTCTTTTGAATCACCAAAGCATCCTGTAACCTCCCTATCATGGCCGACCAAGGACAACAGCGGCTGCCGTTAAAGACCTACCGCGGCAACTGCCACTGCGCAGCTTTTGTCTACGAAACCCAATTCCCCGAGATCAAATCCGCCTTCGAGTGCAACTGCAGCATCTGTTACAAGAAGGGCTACCTGCTACTTTTCCCCGCCCTTGGCACGCTCAAGGTGGTGAAAGGTAGCCTGGATGAACTATCGACGTACAGCTTCGGGGAAGGGCAAACGGATCACAAAGTTGGTGAACCACTGGCAGCCAACGTTGATGTTACTGACAGATCTGGCTCAACAAAGTTCTGTCCAAGTTGCGGCACACCGGTAATGGCCGTCCGCCCAAGTGCTGCCGTCGAGAAGAGTATTGGTCTGAATGTAAGTCTCTCCAAACCATCAAGTCCATATTGCGTTGACTTAACGGAGGATAAGGTTCATGCGATTCAAGGCGTAAACACCTGGGAACTGGAGCGCATCCCGTACGCAATCTCAACTCCTCAACCGATGTAGTGACTGACCTCAAAGCAGATACAACGGCAAAGCAGTTGAACAACCGTACCAGTCACCCAAGTACACCGGCAAGGAACCGATTTCGAAAGCAGAGAACGCAAAAACGTACCACGGAAGCTGCCACTGCGGAGCCGTAACTCTCGCTCTCAAGAGCGCCCCCCTCGACAAGGACTATCCTGACAAGGTCCTGGTCTGCAACTGCAGTGTCTGCGAGCGTGTAAGTCTCCTTCCTCTCCATTGTTCATCAGAGCCGAGTTGACCTGAGACAGAACGCCTACGTCTGGATCCAACCACCAGCAGAAGCAGTCGCCATTCAAGGAGAAAAGAATTTGGTAAGGTACGAGTTCGGCCGCAGGATTGTAGCGAAAACGTTCTGCAAGACGTGTGGGGTGCACATGACCAATGGTCCTTCTGCGAGTTTGAGTGACGAGCAGTACGCTGCGCTGAGCGATGGGTTTAAGGCGTGGGTGGACATGTCCAGAGCCTTGTGTCCGGTGAATCTGCGGGTTCTAAATGAGTTCGATATCAAGGAGATTAAGGAGCCGGAGAGGTTGACTGGTGGAGGTGAAGTTAAGCCCAAGTACGTTAATCCTTGATCAGAAACTTTGGGGGATCCGTGTTGGATATATCCAAGGGAGGTACCAAGGTATGTATGTGCCCAGAGGAGAAGGGATGGTATGGTAAAGCAGTTGAGAGAAGGACACTCCAGAAATGCAGGGGAGAAAAGGAAGAATGAAGTTGGGAGTGTCGCCGCACCCATCGATGTAATTGGTGATGCGCTCATTGAAGTCGTCAACGTTGCTAAAAAGCACTGGCTCTTGCCGACATACCAAATGGTCTGGTTGCCGCTCTTGAATCGTTGGTGCTTGCGTTAGGAGGGACCCCTTCTCAGAATCGTTGTAGCCCTGAGGAGACCCTCCGGACGCAAGCTCCAACAGTTCAAGAGCGACGGCCAAACAATCTGGTACGATGGCAAGAGCCAGTGCTTTTCAGCGACGTTATACCCTGTATCAGGATTGAACTGTTGATCTTCGAGTCTCTTGTAACTCTTTCAGTGATAAAAGCAAGTTTTTCTATTATTATGAGGACCAACTGAGCTAACCGGGCTTATGGTTGTTGTTCCTGTTGAGTTTATGTCACGATAATCTAGATCGGACGAAAGTGAAAATGGAGACTCGAGTGGAGTTTTGTCGAGGGGTGTGCTGAGGGGTGTCACGTGGGCAAGTGGGATAAAGACCCGCTAATTGCCAAGCCAAGTTTAGTGCTGGTTGAGCTTCCATGCCTGCCGAAAAGTTTCCAGGTTGCCAATCGAACGACGACATCCATTCGAGCTCCACCGAACTTCCCAAGCTCCGTCACCACCAAGCATCATCATCGCGGACAATCGAACACGGTCAATGTGAGGTGGACTGTTCAACACACGAAGTAAAGATGGCGCTCGCAACCGCACATAGGGCTCTCGCGCCCACGATACGGCACGCCGGCCAACAAGCTCGCTTGTTGACATCATCAGCTACCCGTACAGCTCTCATCCCAGCAGTATCCTCCACCTTGGTGACTATTACGAAGAAGCCGACGGCGACCGAAACACACACATCTACATCCATAGCATCAACACTAATACCACGCAGACCCTTTCACAGCTCCCCCAGCCATGCAGCCCCGCCCTGGGGTAATATGACCAGCGGCGGCGGCCCAATGCCAACCTACTTCCAGCGCCCATCGCTCCCAGCCAACACCATCATCCGCTTCGTCCCTCAACAAACGGCCTGGATCGTCGAGCGCATGGGCAAGTTCAACCGCATCCTGCAGCCGGGCTTAGCCATCTTGGTACCATTTCTCGACCGCATCGCCTACGTCAAGTCGCTGAAAGAAGTGGCGCTCGAGATTCCCTCCCAAAGCGCCATCACGGCCGACAATGTCACCCTCGAACTCGATGGTATCTTGTACACTCGCGTCTTTGACGCCTACAAGGCCAGGTATAAATCTCCCCCTTCCCACAACCCCCCAACCTATCTCCCATCAACACTAACTGACTGACGGTAAAATAGTTACGGAGTAGAAGACGCAGAGTACGCCATCTCTCAGTTAGCACAAACAACGATGCGCTCGGAAATCGGCCAATTGACACTCGACCACGTCCTGAAAGAGCGCGCAGCGCTCAACATCAACATTACCGCGGCAATCAACGAGGCCGCCCAAGCCTGGGGCGTGACTTGTTTGCGCTACGAAATCCGCGATATCCACGCCCCGAAGCCGGTGGTCGACGCGATGCACCGCCAGGTGACGGCAGAACGGTCGAAACGGGCAGAGATTCTGGACTCCGAAGGCCAGAGACAAAGCGCCATCAATATTGCCGAAGGAAAAAAACAGTCCGTGATCCTCGCGTCCGAGGCTATGCGCGCTGAGCAGATCAATATGGCGAGCGGTGAAGCGGAAGCCATTCTGCTCAAGGCGACGGCTACCGCTGCGGGCATCAATGCTGTTGCGAAAGCGATTGCTGAAGGAAAAGATGCTGCGCAGGGCGCTGTTTCTCTCTCGGTGGCTGAGAAGTACGTCGATGCGTTTGGACGCCTCGCGAAAGAGGGGACTGCTGTCGTCGTGCCTGGCAATGTGGGCGATATTGGGGGCATGATTGCCACTGCCATGGGTGTGTACGGGCAGGTTGGCGAGGCGCAGGCCAAGACTATGGCTAAGCGGATGCTTGATCGTGAGCAGTCTGCAGAGACCAATGAGGCGCGGGATGGAGATCGTGTCAAAAAGTCGGATTATCAGATTGCCCAGGAGAGTGTGATTGCCGAGTTTGATAAGGCTACGGAACACAAGAGGTGAGCTTTCCTTTAATGAGGGGATAAATTGAAGTGAAAGGTGTTTTCAGCAGCTCCAGCGAGTAGAGTTCAGGTTTTTTGTCTGGTAGGAGGTATCATTGTATTGTATTGCCAACATCGGTGACGGGAGATACGGAAAAGCGAACGAAGATTAGGATGAATGAATGGATGGATGGATGGGTAGACGGAAATATTTGTACCAATACCACACCAACAACCACACCACCACTACATCAAAAGGAGGAGACTCTCTCCATTCATTTGTTTACTCTGTTTTTTATGGAGAGTAATGGCATGCATGGACTTTTTGTGTTCTCACGCAGTCAGCACACCGCACCGTCACGACATCCACAGGCGTCGTTGGGTGGCAGACAGCGAAAAGGGAGGGAGCATAAAGGTGCATGGTCGGCGGTCGGATTCCACTCACTTGATCAAAACCAATGTACAATACCATTCAAGATTTGTGAAACTCATTCCACTACCACACAACGCAGTCAGTCATCATTTCATGTGCCGTCCGTGCGTGCTTGGCCAGCCCACCATGTTCACCTCTCAGGAACTTCACTCAATCAGTTCCAATGCCTTCATGTTACAGCGACAGAACAGAATGCCCCTGAATTGCAACCTGGGTACGCTACCTATGCCTAACTCCCGTCGGTTCTATACCCAATACTGTACATACAAAACACCACTCCCACCTCAGTCAGGTGAAAAGAATATCATCAAATCCCCAGCTCCCCACCAATAACATCCAAAGCCTCCCTCACCAAACTCAGCACCTTGTCATCCCCCGCCGTGCCCGCAACCTGGACACTATCCACCAGCAGCGGATACAACCTCAGCAAATGCTTCATCGACTCGCTGTCCACGTTGGGCGTATCCGGAATCGCCTCCGGCTCCGACCTGAGCTCGACCAGACACCTCAATATCCGCGTCAATTCCCTCCTCTGGGACAACGGTTGCGGCATCCTGCCCCTCAGAGGCTGGTCGGCCACATATGCGCGCAGCGAA